CGTTTGGCAGCATGGGTGTTACCTATCCTTTTGTTCACGCACTAAATGGAGAAACCAAAGTCCCCCGCTGGATATCTTTGAACGGTAGAAAGAAACGAGAAGCCCCGAAATGTTTTCCCCGCACACGGAAAGCGCGAAAATTAACCTCTATTGTGCTAGATGCATCATGGGTATCAATTTGTATTCCTTTGTGAGGGCCCTGCCCCCTTCCAATGTAAGGTTGCCCCCCTCCCCCCCCCCCCAATACTTTAGGCCGAAACATTCTAAAAACGGTAGGAAGTGTTGACCATTACGAACGAAGTAAGCTATTTTATATCCGATAGTGATATTCACGCCACTGATTCTTCCGTCTCGTGGACTCTTTGATGCAAACGGCGATTGGTCTTCTACCAATGGTGGGTTGCGTTAATACAAACGACACTTGGTCTTCTACCAATGGTAGGCTACGACGCTAACATTGGTTTATTTGAAGCCGAGACCCGAATTGTCCTGCTGCAAGGTCTCATGAGAAAACAGATCTGGAGACGAAATCAGAAGAGGTACGCTACCTTCCCCCGTGCTAGGATCCGTGCCTGCAGGAGCGCTATGCTGCCTAAATCAACGACTCTCTTTAAGCGACACAAAAATCAGAAGATCCAGAAGCAGACCGCTCCTAGTCTTCTCCATAGCTGCCCTGGATTTTTGGACTGGATTTTTCATGTTTTTAAGCGCAAATTGTTGGGCTCAGTATAACTCAATTTCATTGCTGAATACAAGCCAGCCACCTTTCACCTTTCTCGCATGTCTCGATTTCCATCCAATTCGAAGGAGGAAAAAACCAAAGCCCCATCTTACCAATCCGCATCAAAACGTCCAACTGCAACCGGTTTAGCCGAAAACAGCAAAAGAAGCATGCATGAACATTATACCTTGCACACTTAACGGTCTTAGTGTTCTGCTCTGTCCAATCCGTTTGAGTCGGTCAGTTTTTCAGGCCACTTAATTCTTATTCATTCCTTAGCCGATGCAGTCCTCGTTCACCGACTGCGGATGCCTATTCAACTGTATATTTACACAAGGACATGAAGTGCACAGCCATCGATAGCCCATTTGAGTCTGTGACGCCTACGCCGTTAGCACAATACCCCTCCCCCTCCCCTCAAACACACTCACGATATTATACTGCGCCCCTCGGAGCAGCAATTATCCGAAAAGCGAGGTGCTTTGAACTGCGGACGCACGTTTCCTGCTCTGGCTCAGTCCATGCATATCTTCTAACCTTCAAGTAAGTTGATGCCTCTCTTTCCGGTGCATACTGCCTGCATAGGTGCCTTGAAGGGGATTCGGTGGATTTTTTGATAGATGTGCTCTTTGTGTGCCGTCAAGATAAAGGTGAACATGGGTGGAGACCGATATGGCCGATACCACCGGTCTCAAGTTCTTATATGGTGCAATTGCGCCGCGTGTCGGCTCGTTGGTCTAGGGGTATGATTCTCGCTTCGGGTGCGAGAGGTCCCGGGTTCAAATCCCGGACGAGCCCAGCCTATTGCCATCTTTGATGAAAATCAGATATCAAACTCTCATTACGACACCAAAGCCACAATCGCCCCCCCCCCCCTTACCCTGCATACTGCAGCTCACTCAGGCGACACGTGATGTGACCAGTCCTGCTACTCGGTGCCCGATCAGCACTTGTCATCCCATCGCAGCCTTGCATGCATGCGAGACAACAGCAACACGTCGGGCGCTTCTGACTGGCAAGTACGCAACTTTCTTTTGAAAATGGGCATGGGTGCGTCACGTTTTGTTGAACTCCCGCTGCTTGAAAAATGCGCATGGGTGGGTGGGGCATGGGCGCATGGGTGCGCCACTTTGCTCTCCATTTAGGGATATATGCGAACTCGACGCCTGTTCATGCCAAGGTTAACATAGTCGCAACCGACTGCGCTGCAGACCGGCCAGGTCAAATCTAGTAAGAACGGTGTCAAGGGCACATGGGGCGAGGCCGACGCCACTGCCTCCGCAGCAAAATGAAGGGAAGGAGGCATATCTGGAAGTCGAGCTAAGACCCCTCCCTGCAACTTCGTGGCTCGTTGGTCTAGGGGTGTGATTCCCGCTTGGGGTCCGGGAACAGGGCACGAGAACAGGGTGCGAGAACAGGGTCCAGGTTTCGAGTCTCGGGCGCGCACCATGCACCATGGGCGCCAGAAAGTAGCTACACTCCGACATGCGGGCAGAGTGTCGGTCACCTCCATACACAAATGAGTCGCTGACTGGCATGCCCATGATGTAACTCTCGGCCACGGTTACAGCGATACCAAATTCAAATCACAGGCGGACCAGTCTATTCTTGGTGGGGGGCGATGAAACTCGCTACCACGACCACCATGCGCCGATCTTTTCACGGAGGCGGAACTGCTCGGCTTCAGGCCGACAAGCCACGCCTGCTCCCTGTAATCGTAACGCGCCGCGTCCCGACCGACCGACCGCCACACCCATGCCACCGGCGAACGCGCCAGCTCGCAAGGGCTCGCATCTCGAGCGCGTCGGCTCACGTCCCGAGAGCGTGGTCTCGCGTCTTGAGCGCGTGGTCTCGCGTCTCGAGCGCGTCGGCTCGCGTCTCGAGCGCGTCGGCTCGCGTCTCGATCACGTGGTCTCGCGTCCTGAGCGCGTCGGCTCGCGTATCTAGCACGTGGTCTCGCGTCTCGAGTGCGAGGTCTCGCGTCTCGAACGCGTCGGCTCGCGTCTCGAACGCGCGGTCTCGCGTCTCGAGCGCGCCGGTTTGCGTCTCGAGCGCGTGGTCTCGCGTCTTGAGCGCGCCGGCTCGCGTATCTAGCACGTGGTCTCGCGTCTCGAACGCGTGGTCCCACGTCTCGAGCGTGTTGGCTCGCGTCTCGATTGCCTCGGGTATTAAATGCATATTTCCATACTTGAGTCATAGCTGTCATGATCGTAATTCTGAATTATTCATACGACTTCAGTTCGACTTTTCATTGTTGAAATGCTTGGAATTGAGATCCATGCCTGTAGCAGGTTTGAATCCCCAACTATATTAGAACCAGAACAAAGTTAAGCTGGTGGATTTTCAATGCTTGTGAAATATGTATCATATTTAAGTCTTGCTTACATGAGGTAAGTAAAGACGTTTGCCTGGAAACCATAAGTACAATAAACTTAGTTGATAAAACTATTTGAGGCAGCTGTTGATCAACAAACCATAAGTAAAACAAGACAAAGTCGATTCCGCCAAGAAACGCTAGACATTCAAGCAAAAAGTTCCTTTTTCTCAGCTTCGTACATGCAGGCGAATACAAAAAGCTCCACCTCCAGCCTGGTTGAGAAAAAGCACTTTTAACCCTAAACCCCCAAAACAGAATTGTCACTGTGCGGCGTCCTCCGGCACCGGGCGCGCGATTACCTATGGACGGCCTGGGCGCCGAGCGGCAGCGCCTGCCATGAGCGCAGCACCGGCACGCCGCAGTAGACGGGGATGCAGACGGCCTCGCGGTGGCCGATGTCCAGCACCAGGCCCGTCTGGAGACCCAGCGGCAGCAGCGCCATCAGGTGCGACGGCGCCAGCAGCACGGACGACACCTGCCGGACGGCCGGGGAAACACTCAGAAACGGCCGGGAGAACACTTTGGGGCGGCGGGGTTAGCATTCAGGAGCAGCGGGTCAACACACAACCAGGGCGAATGTCCGCGTTCGGGACTGGAGAAGTCACGCCAGTTAGTACGAAGTAACCTTTCTGAGCCTTGCCGGAGGGGGGGGGCGAGCTGGAGGGGGGGGGGGGGCGAAGAGGCCGGCTTGCACCACTTCGGGAAGAGGGCGTATCCCCGGTGGCGTTCCTCTGTCCGCAGTCAAGGCACTCCCGATGCGCTGACGAATACGCGAGCCGGCGCGGCTCGGCGCCGAATCTGGGCTGAATCAAAACCTCAGTACGGCGCTCCCATACGAGATGCCCGATTTTCGGAAGGTGACGAACTGGCTTCGTTTGGCTTGGACCAGGGTCCTTTTGGCCCGCAATGGTCATTTCAGGGCTCTAGAATTAACAAGAGAGGCAGTTGGTGGGGTAATACTACGGACGTCTGGGAGACCGCAAAACCGAAGCTTATCCGGCACAGGAACCCTTCTTTGAGGTTTGTGCGGGCGCCAGGGCTGGACGCCAGTCAGGGTGGCACTTAAGCCGCTGCGGGCTGGCGGCCGTAGCTCGCCCCGGTGGGACGGGACACTGCGAGAATTAAGGATGGAACGGTGGGTGAGGGAAGAGCGGATGCAGTTGGGAAAACAGATGTCCGTTATGCATAAAGGTACACACCCAGGTCCCAACGCAGTTTGTCATAAACGCTCCAGAGCTCTCACAGCGCGACTCATTGAATCGCACAGCACCACGCGATCACCCTCCGTGAACGGACTGAGGTCAGAATAAACGCCGCGATCGCTCACGCTCCATACCTCCACTGAAAGCACAAGCAACTCATCGGGCATCGTCCTGTAGCACCACACCAGCCGCGTACTGCAACACGCGTGGGCGGAGTGTGTCCTGCGTCTCCCGCATCTGCTCACCTCATAGTGGCGGAACAGCACGTTGGCCAGCACGTTGCGAAAGAGCGAAGGCGTCAGCAACGACTCCACCACCACCACCGGCCGGTCCTTCGGGTTCACCAGCAGCCGCCTGGCGCGGTGGACGACAAGGCTACCTTCAGCTCCCACCCACTCAGCTTAGCACAGCAGCAAAAGGTTCGTCACCCACTAGGTCACAACATAGCTCTACTTCATGTCGCCCCGGGGCTGGCTGTCGGATCATCAGCTGGCTTTCCCCCATTTGTCCAATGTGTGAAGACGGCAATAAACGGAAGATGAATTTTACGGCTCAAAGGACGACGCGACAATGACAGCCTCCACATACAGTTGGCAGCTGGCAGGTTTTTCTGGTTTTTAAACGCGACTGTTTCTTTAACCTTGTCTAACCATCTTCATTCGTGGTCAAAAGCACAGCTGTAAGCGTCTAATATTGACAAAACAGCCAATGTTTGCCTGATGACGCCGTTTAACTAGTACCACCTAGTATAATGAGGGTTGACTATTGTCAGCATAAAAACTCTGAAACAATCATAGCAGTTGCAAGCATATTCATATTTCTACACATTTGCAATCACTCAGTAAGAAACCCGAAGGCCCTTCAACGCGATAAAAGCATGTGTGACACCACAGGGAGAACACTTCCTTTCAAGTCAGAATCATCGAAATGCTGCCATCTGTCCACATGACAGAGCCCAATCTGAGCCCCTGACACACAGTCTGAGCCCATGACACACAGTCTGAGCCCATGACACACAGCCTGACCCCAATCTGAGCCCCTGACACAAAGTCTAGGCTCCTGACACACAGCCTGACACCCTGACACACAGTCTGAGCCCCTGACACACAGGCTGAGCCCCTGACACACATTATGAGTCTCTGACACACAGTCTGAGCCCCTGACACACAGTCTGAGCCCCTGGCACATGGTCTGACCCCCTGAGAACCAGTCTGAGTCCCTGACACATAGTCTGAGCCCCTAACACACAGTCTGACCCCCTGACCCACACCCTGGGCCTCTGCGCCGGCACGCAGGGACACCTAGCCAGCGCGCGCGACACGACCGCCTCAACAGAGCCACACCTGAAGTAGACCTTCTGCATCAGCTCGACCAGCAGCCGGTAGAGGTCGTCGCCGCCGCGGTAGTCGAAGACGGAGCGCTCATGGCCATCCACCGTCACGCGCGACGGGATGATGGCGCGCGGGCCCGTCTCGTCGCCGAAGCCGCACCTGCGGCCGGGCGGCCGTGTCACGAGGCGACACCAGCGCGGGTCAGACGGCCGGCACCGGCTCAGGTCATGGGGAGGTGACGCGGCTGGATGGCAGTGACGGCCCTCAGCGACCGGCCCATCTCACATGGGGTGGTGTCAGTGGTCTGCAATAGGTAAGCCATCACGAAGCCACCACCTTCATCGGGCGACATTGCCCCATGGGAAGAGAGGCAAACTTCAAGGTCTCCACCTTGATCTGCAGTGTGTAAGCCTCCACTTTCTGTCTATATGCAGATTCATTTAATTATGCATTGGTCATGAATGGTTGCTGCTTGTCATTAAATCAGTTACAGCCATGCTCTATTGTATCCACATCCAAGAAACCATTCAAAAAATTTAATTTTGGGGTCAAACTATTGCTCTCCTGCACAAGCACTGTGGTGGAACCTCTTTGTGGGAGTCTTTTTTAATGTGACATTTCAAACTTACTTTGTGTAGGCAGTTCCAAATATCCAGCACAACAGGATGCAGGTCCTTTTCACCAATGAGCCCAATGCCTTCATAAAGAGGCATGATAACTGATGCTGAAAAGGGGAAAACTATAGCATGCAGGACAAGGGCCAAGCATAACCCACAATCACTCTGTGTGACATAAATATCTGTCCTTTGTCCCTTACAGCATTTGCCAAAATATTTTCAAGTTTTTATTTTTTCTGTAATGAGCACATAAATTGGACTTCAAAACAGTTCAGTCCAATCCCAACAAAGCTCACACAAACAAAATATTGTAAGTTTTGTGCTACGTGGCTGTGACAAAATGCACCGAACACTATCCCACCTGAAAAGCATCACTGCTGTGCATGCTCCTCCCCATAAACCCAATATGCACACAAAAGCCCTTTGTATTAAACAATGAGCTTTTTGGTGTCTGAATACATGGCAAGTGCAACAGGCTCTTGAACTGAGCAAGCAGATTACATGTCTATGTTGACCTCTACCACCGATGTTCTGTTGTTTAAGCAAAATCTTCCTAACTGACTCAGCCTATCACATTTTTTCAACACTGACTAATAAGTTCTAACTCATGCCTAACCCCATCTAACCCAATCTGAGATGCATTTGCTTATGGGTATATCTAAAATAGAGTGCAATCAATTCATTTTGCCTTTGTAATTGGGGTTCAATTATTGATTTTGGAGGAGCACAACAAAACTGGCTTAGTACAAATTGCCTTCAACTAACATGGTTAACAAAACAGTCTCCATGATACCATAATGCACTCCATGCCACAATCTAACCTTCAACCACTTACATTCAGCACACTAAAGGACAAAACTGTTAATTTTATGATCCTTTCACATAACTATGTTAACATATGCAAATATTTATGAAACATTTATAGGGGCCACACATGTTGGATCCTGATAATGTGGTCTACAATAAAGAAGAGCCACCAATATATGTGCAATCATTATGTCCCATAAAAACCCTTGAATTGAAACCATTCAGATGACATGAAAACATTTACAGCCTTTAAGGTAAATATACCAACCTAAATTATCTACCTGTCTCTATAACAAATATAACACTTCTACCAGTTCTGTTAGATTAAATAAACACCTAAGAGCCAGATTAAAATCACTTAGATGTGGATGGGCCAGGCATGACTGAAAGACTAGTTTTAAAACAACAAAAAATCTAGATCATTTAATTCATCTTACCTACATTAGTTTGATCACCACCAATGACCTAAACACAGCATGAGGTCATCAATGTACAAAGGCCTTGAAAGCAGTATTTGACAGGTCAAAATAACTAGTTTGTCAACTTTCATGCCCCATAAATGTTGTAATATTGTGCATCTAAAACACCATTGCAAAAGCTACATGGAGCATAATTTGCTTGCCGTTTTGAGTTTCGATCATCCTACTAAGTGACATTAAAACATGTATTAGGTTTGTTTCCTACCCGATCCCATCTTTACGCTCTATCTGACCTTTACCTGAATGGAAAACAGGCGAACCGTGCTTTTCCTGGTAAGCTATGGAAAACCACAGGTACCAAACTAGGCCAAGTGCAGTGGTCGACAGCACCATCTCAATATGAAGGGGTTGCAATCAACCCATGGGGCGCAGTCACGATTATTCTAGGGCGTAGCCGCACCATGCTAGAACACGGGCATGAAGGCAGACCAAACATATCCGCCGATTTTGAATCATTCACACTGTTAATGTCTTATTTGGTAGCTACCATATCCCCGTCAGTGGTATCAAAGAAAGTATTTTGTAGCAGAAAATATAAATGCTGGCACACACGATACACGCATGCAAATCTAGCAGTTCATTTACATCAGTTATCAGTATACAGATGCAGGGGTGAAGGAAAAGAATGGGGAGGCATGTCGCCATGCCCCCACTTCTTAAAAATGTTTAATATTAGCCTTATAGCGATGCGTGATGAGGAAATTATTTCAAAAGCGTATTGGCTCCTCCTGTCTCTGGGACGTTATTACGCCCTTTCTATAGGCATATATTCTAGATCCTCACGCAATGGCTGAAAATTGGTAGGCTGATGGGTCTGACCTGGTCATCCCCTAATCCTCCAAAACTGAGAGGGATATCATAAGATTGTGTGATGTCATGGGCAGATTTCTATGGAGCCAGATTTATATTCATACGTAATTGATGTTCTGGACCTTAATGATCTAGTTAAAAATTAGCATGTTAAAAGCACAACACCTTAAGGGCGTACCATCGAGCAGTTGGCACGACCTGAGCGTTGCGTGGATAACGGTCACGCTAAGTGCCACCAGTCCTGGAGACCCCAGCGGTTCAGATGGGGCCGGGTTTTGCCGCGCATGTGTTTCATGTTGAAAAGGAACCTGCATATGGAAAAACGTAGCATATAAATGAATGGTAGCCTCTGCCCAGGGATATGCTATGAAAAAAAACAAAACATTGCATCGGTGGCCGGTTATAACGAACACTTTGGACACGTTTACGGAGTGACCAGGTTCTCTCACGTTTATGGAGAACGCACAGATACACCACTAGGGAACACGTGGTGGACGGCATGCAGCGATGAAGTGTATAGGTGCACCACTAGAGGACCACGTGGTTGTTCACCAAGTGTCTGGTGATATTGTTTCCTGGGTCTCTCATATGTATGCAGGTGGCTTGTCTCGAGTTTTCAGTCGTACCACACATCGCTACGGTTGTGAATACCTCCGACATGCATTTGAAGACTGCTAAAGTCCAGCCTTTTTAAAATTGGTATAAAGAAGGAAGTGAAATAAGAGACTAGGGCCGGCCGCCGCTGAGAATGTGTGCACAGCAACGGAGTAACGAATAACGGAATTACCCTTTCTGAAATAATTGAATAACGAGTAATGGAAGTACTTTGTTGTTGCCAGTGCTCTCCTACGCATCCATTATGTGGTAAGCGCAGGTTTCGGAGACTCCCCCAGCTGAATCCAGAACGCCCAATTTTTGGAGAGGCCAATAGTATTAAGAAAAAGTAAGACAATGGTGAACGCTCAAGGTGCCTGCGCAACCATATAAACTGGGAGACGGTTCCATTGCAACATATTTTCTTCTCTATGCGTTTTAAGGGTGATAAAAGCATGGCTCCGAATTTAATTCCAGCCACTCTGAATTGGCCTAAGTGAGAGGAAGACGCCATTCAGGGGATAGGTGCATTGCATCTTAAAAACAAAATTGTGCGTTCCCGAATCAGCCTCTTATGAAGGCCCTGGTGGGCCTGTCTTGTACGCTCAGTTTATGTCATATGGACGGGCGGGAATGGAAAATATTTGGGTCAAGCATGATAACCTCCACTTGTCATTTTTCTGAAGTCCAAGACTCAAGCTCATGAGCGCATTTGTAATAGCTCAAATGTTGTTTGGGCGTCGAGGTTTAGACACGTCATTATAAATGCCACGACCATTGGCGTCGTGACGCCATATAAAAAAGTTACAGAACTCGTTCCCTTTGCCAAATCCAGGTGTTACACCCAGCTCTTTTAATATGGGCGGAGAGGGTGACAGCTTGAATTCAAATGACCAATTAGATTGCACGGACGGCGTGACGTCATTGGGGATTTGGCATGCTCTGGTGCATACGAATGGTACGAATGCACCAACAGCATATACCGCACGCTGCATGGCGAGCGACCAGCCACAGGCAGCAAAAGCGACTCGCCGTCTATCGGCCCGTTGGCAAAACAGCGACGTTGTTTTAGATCTAATGTATAGAGAAATGGCGTACAACAGTTTGAGATCTCACTCAAATACATCGGGCCAACAGTTTGCGATATTAAGCCCTTGCGCATTGTTGGGACGATCCGTCCGTCGCCAATTCCTCCCCTGTCATGGCGACCCTCGTGGCCGTTGCAAGCAAAATGCCGCTGTCATAACCTTTGAACCGCAACTCATCTCGCTTTTAAACAAGTCATGTCCTTGCTCTGATCCCAACAAATTTCCTTGTCCTAATCGCCACGACATAAAAGCATTCGAAGTGCAATGCTCGAATTCATGAATGTTTATGAAGGGATGGGACAATCAACACTATCTCTTCCGCGGTTCAGGTTTAGCAAAGGTCTATGTAGGCATGTGTGTGTGTCGACTCGGTTAACCGACTATTCCCTCGTTTTGATGGAACCAAATTCAAAAACGTACCATTCAACTCAAATTGGCTGCTTGCTAGGCACAGCGGAAAATGTGGCATCGGTGTCCTGTGCATCTTATCATCCAGAAGTTAGCAAAAATCAAAATCGGCATCCTGCAACTGACGATATGCTTGAATGGCAGCTTCTTCCGTCCTTATAGCAACAGGATACACCTACTCATACCGAAAGACGTTCAATGATCGAACCGGGAAAGTTTGAGAGGCAACGACGGAGAAATACCGTTTTTGCGGTGAGGAATCACTAAGATTAGGTTAAATTCGACACCAGCCTATTCGGCCGGCGCCGCCCCAGTCAAACCGGATTCTACGAGCATCCCGACGAGCAAGTACGGGACAGCAATGAGCTGTACTTCAAAAAGGCGATAAAATAAATTTAAGTAATCTGAGGACAGGATGCATTCGGAGGCAAGGCAAGTTCGGTCGGGTTCGGGCGTCCGACAGCTATTTTTGGGGTTGTTGCTTTTTGGTCAACGCCAATAGGGTCGAAAAGTAGGGCAATGAAATCCTGAGTGATACTCGTTTTAATAAAGGCATGTAGTTAAAATATCAATCTATCTATGTCTGCGTGTTTCTAGATATTCTACAACAAATAAGGTTATAAGTATTGTTTTATCTGTCTGCGTAATGCTCCTCGTACATGCACTTAACAACTAATAGGGTCAATGGTAAGCCGTTAGAACTTTGGGGGCCTCAGCCACCTGGATTCCCTAGCTGCCGTAGCCCTGTTTCCAACGATGTCAATGCAGCTCATGCTGGCCTCTGGGTCCTAAAATGCATGACCTTTCATGCGTGGTACATACCGGCTAATTTGGCTTCCAGCCGGTTTCTTTACTTCCCAATGCACATTAACAAAACAACTTTTCGTTACATCTCCCTGTCCGTAGTGTCTTTACAATGGACATGGGTCACGGAGAAACGCATGTGGCTCGCATTTCGCAAGGCTCAAGGGCCTAAGCGCACGACTATGCGTCTCAGCCTGCTAATTACCGAACACCCATGGTAAGGATGAAATTGGATGCACTGCTTCATTGCTGGCGTAGACTGGCTTCCATTTGAATGTTGCTCTTCAGAAAAATACGAGTTTGGCTAGGAGCGTTTTGCCAGACAATAGTTGTCTATTTATTTCGGTACCTTTTCCATGTCCTTTCAGCGAGATATGTCCAGAAGCACTAGAACATTTTCAAATAAAATGCAAACTAATCAACCTACAACTAGCATCGGTCAGTTTACTTCTTGTCGCAGATGGTGGCGTAGTCACCCTGGCAGAGGGCGTAGTTGATGACGTGGTGGATGACGTTCTCCTCCAGGCTGCCGCGCAGCAGGTGGGCGCCAGGGCCGCGCGCGAAGATGCCGACATCCTCACCGCCGTGGGTCTCCTTCGGCAGGTAGATGCCGGCCACCTGCTTGTAGTGCGGGTCGCGCCACTCGGCCTCCGGCGACATGTCAGCGAGGCGAGCCCGCTTGGCCTCGAACTCGTACCAGTCCTCGGAGCCGCCCGGACCGTTAGCGTACTGCATAATCGGGTAAGGCAGCTTGGGCGGCGGGCCACCCTTCTGCATGCCGCCGGCCAGGAACGAGGCAGGGCCGAACATGTCCAGGCCGCGCTCCGGGTAGCCGTTGATGGAGAAGGTGTGGGAGTGATCGGAGGAGACGACGATCAGAGTATCCGTCTCGTCGGTGTTGTCCATGACGTGCTGGACGACCTCCTCCAACTCCACGGTCTCGTCGATGGCCGTGTAGGCGTTGCCGTAGTGGTGGCCGTGATCGATCTTGGCGCCCTCGACGAACATGACGAAACCATTGGGTCCACGCTTCAGGATCTCCAGGGGCCTTCTTCACCATCTCGGTCAAGTTGACATCGTCGGCGGTCTGGAAGGCGCGGTACTGCATGTGGCTACGGCTGAACAGACCCAGCACGTAGTCGGCAGAGGAGGCGTCGAAGCTGTTCAGCTCGGCCTTGGTGCTGATGTAGGCGTGGCTGCGTCCCAGGGACTCCTGCTTGTCCTTCCACTCCTGGATCAGGTCGCGGCCATCCAGGCGGGAGCCGCCCTCGACATCCTTGGGCGTGAACTTGCCCCAGCCGCCGCCGAAGGCAACGTTGATGTCGATGCCCTCACGCTCGACGAACTGGGTGGACAGGTCCTTCATGACGTTCTTGCACGAGTCCTTGACGGGACCGGTCATCCACTCCATGGCAGCGAAGTCGGCGTCCGACTCCCAGGTGCGGTAGGCGGTGTGGCCGAAGGTGGCGGCGGGAGAGGCGTGCGTGATACGGGCGGTGGACACCAGGCCGACCCACTTACCGGCCTCCACTCCGTAGCGGAGGATCGACTTGGGCGAGGACGCCTCGTTGACGGCGTCGCAGTTCCAGATGAGCACGGAGCAGTCGACGCCGACCGTGAGGAAGTTGCCCTTGGCGCCGGTCAGGTAGGCGGTGGCGGTGGAAGCCGAGTCGGCCGTCCAGCGGTCGCAGTTGTAGGTCTTGGACAGGCCCAGGTAGGGGAAGGTCTCCCAGGAGAGCATGGTGTGCTCGGGCACGTCGGCGCCGTGCTGCAGACCCTTGCGCTTCCTGGCGGCGGCCAGCGTGGGGATCGACATGCCGTCGCCGATGAAGAGCACGGCATTCTTGGCCTGGTAGTCGTACACGGGGTCGGCCAGCTTGGTGCGCAGGATGTCCTGGGCGATGTCCTTCCAGAAGGCCTGGTCCAGCACCTGCCCGGAGCGGGAAAGGGTGGTGGCGGCGGCCCGCCCCGAGGCCAGCCTTCTCCTGCACCTCCTGGTAGGTGGGCGCCCACATCTCGTGCATCTCCAGCTCGTCCTGGTCCTCCACGCGGGAGTCGAGCGGCACGGCCGAGGCCAGCGCCACCAGACAGGCAGCCACAAACAGCTTCATAGTTCTGGGCGGGATCGCCTGTCGCTGGCCCACCGGGTGTGGTGGGATGCGGTCTGGCTGACCAGCGGCCGGCTTTATACCCCCCGGCAAACTAGGCGGTCACACTTGGCCACAGCATGTGGTCGACCACATTCGCAATTAACACGTTGTTACCATCTGCTCGAGCTTGGACGCAATTGACAAAAGTGTGCACACTTGTTGGTTGTTAACTTGTGGCCCGGGACCACCGCGCAGTTTTCTAACACGGTTAGGTCCATTTCCTATACAGAAGTGTTGTTTCCTACACAGAATGTCATGACCAGAAAAGCCAGGCCAAATTCCTGTTTCCTACACAGAATATCATAATATCATGCAGAGGCAAATAGATATTTATATAGATAGACATTTCCCGCAGGCAGGAATTGGTCACTACAAATGTTTTTTGGTAAAGCTGGTCTTCATGCCTACGGGGCCGGCGCTGTTTAAAATACCTGGTCTAATAGGGCCGTCTCAGCACACAGGGTTGCCTGTAGTGACAACGTCAGTGACTTTTCTACGTTGTTTATTCATAGCGTAACCAACGTTGATCGTGGGCAGTCAGCTCGCAAATTCGGTGGCAAGAAACTGAGCTTTTGTCTGTGCGGAGGCCGGCCTGGCTTTCCCTGCGCGGAGGCTTGGCCTGGCGCTCCCAGGATCCATCGACCCTCGGCCATGTACCACAGATATTGCACAGGCATCTGAAGACAAACATTGCTGCTCAGTGGTGTCGCAGCCTTGCCGAAAGAGTGGCTTCGTGATGTAAGCAGCTTAGTTGGTTTTATCATTTCCATTTTGTAACAAATTTTGGGCCAATGAAAGCGAAGCCTTCCAGTTATACTTTCCTGAACAACCAAAAAATTATGACACCAAAAGCATCAATTCAATCCCAATGCATCCTAAACAAATGAAGCATCGCAATGCTAGTGCTAGCTAACGTGGGCAGAAGTAATTATACCCATTGATTGAAACACTGCCGTATAGAAAATATTAGCAGTGCGTGCTCGCCTGTCCTCTGGCGAGGAGGGCAAAGGTTAGGTCAGGTCCGGTTGGGTCAGGCGGAAAAAAACATTGCCGAGTTTTCACGGCGTACACATATAGTACTTGCCAAAGCTGAATACAATGAATTAATGGAAGGGCATGGCTCATATGTCTACGTATTCAACGAAGCACGATTTTACGTGTGATCCTGTCCACTTACAGAAAACTGTCAGGCATTGTTATGAAGTTCGTTAAGGTGTGATTACATGCACGGATAGAGAATTTCCAGAAAAAATGTGAAGCGGGTGTGTCAGCACAAAAGTCAAATGAAAAATATAATGAATTATGTGGAACGAAAAAAGTATAATGGCAAAAGTTGACAGGGATGAAAGGCGACTGGGATCCAAGTCGACAGGGATGAAAGGCCACTGGGATCCAAGTCGACAGGGATGAAGGCGGCTGGGATCAAAGTCGACAGGGATGAAAGGCGACTGGGATCAAAGTCTAATCGGAAAAAAACCCGAGGACAAAAGCTCGTCAGTGAATAAAAGTCGGTCGGGACAAAAGGCGAATCGGAAAAATCGAACGAGAACAAGACAAAAGTCGTTAGGGATAGAACTAAACTTGAAAAGCTTAACCGAAAAGTGTTAGAACTAGAAGTGAGCAGGACTAAGTTATAATGGAAAAGTCAAAGGACAAAAAGGCCGAAGAGACAAAAGCCCGCGGGAAGTCTACATGGCACTACTGCACGCTTGTGATGGCCCGCACGTTGCCCTAAGCACAGCTGAAAACGTCGAGTACTAACAATCTAATTAACGTTTGCTCCATAACGTCGCAAACTGTATCTCCTGGTATATTAGAGGCCGTGACTAGGCACAAAAACTTTGAACTCATAAATCCAAACACAGGAGTGTGGTGTACTATGCAGTTGGGGCGGGGGCATGGGGTGGGGCCAGCCCTTCCCAACATTGGGGGGGAAAGCAAGTCGAATCCAGTGAAGACCCATGTATTGGCGCTTTGTCGGTAAAAATGTGCTATGTTCCTCGCTCTGCACTCCGTTCCCCAACTAATTTCCCGAAACTGCGCCCCCGGCCCAATAACTAGACGTTTGAGGCCTTCGTCGCTGATATCAATCAACATGTGTCTGAAAGGGGTCCACGAAATGCGAGCGTTTTTAGGATTGCGTAATGCACACTCAGGTTCACTGACGACACAGTCGCAGAACAAATACCGTCCGCTGTCTTGCGGCCGGCCTGCGTATCGCACGCCCTCCGTAAAGCCCCCTCCTCCGCATCCGCTCTCCGTAACGTAAGACGACGGGGATACTGGAGCCGCGCCCCGTGGCGCAGTCGAGGAGATCCAGGTAATTATGCGAAACAGTTAAGACCTTTATTTTGGCACCATACTTAGGCGTTTAGGTAGCAGCTTTTCCCGAAGGCTACCAAAAATTTGTCTAGTACTGTCTTGCCCCGTCCGATAACATCATGCTCCGTTCAATTCCGTCTGATCTCGTCCGGCTCCGTCCGGCTCCGTCCGGTTCCGTCCGGTTCCGTCCGGTCGGTTTTGTCTAGTTCCCTCCGGTTTGTCGGGTGCCGTTCGATGCTGTCTGGTCGCATCCGGTCACACGTGGCCCTGTGGTGCCGACCGGTTCGGTTCGGTCTCGTCCCATTTGGTCCCTCCATCTGATCTCGTCTGGTTCCACCCAGTCCCAACCCAGTCTTACCTCGTCTGTTCTTGCCTGGTCCCTTCTGGTGTGATTTGTTCAGTTTCATCTGTACTTCCCCGTGGTCATAGATTTAGCTACCTCTCATACCAGGCGCCAAACCATGGTGACTTTTCTGTTGAATTCATTATTTTTCCTTTCATTTCATTGATTCATTCTTTTCATACTTTTCTGTTTTAATTTATTAATTAATTAATTCATTCATTCATTGTTTTACAGATCCGATTTTAACCTTTTGCTGTCGGTGTCGGTGTTCTGCCCTGCGACTTATTCCGTGTCTTCTCACCTGTATGTCGAACTTTTGTTTATTCACTTTTCTTGCATCCGATTTTTATCCCTGTCGACTCACATTCCTTTCGACTTTTTGTCATCCGGCGTTTCCGACTCAACTTGTATTGCTGTTGACTTTTATCCATTCGACTTTTTCCCATCTCAACTCTTTCTAATTCGACATTTATTCATGTCGGCTTTTTTGTTTGGCTTTTTCCATTCGGCTTTTTGTCCGGGAACCTCGTGAAGCTGCTAGAATGAGTATCTCACCAAGACAAAATGTGAACGTTCCATTGATTTCAGCGGGTTTGGTGTAATCAATGCCTTTCCTGTGATGTAACACCCACCCCGTCTGCCTACAGGAGCGTGTATTTCAAATGCATGCATCAAACCAAAACTACCAAACTCCACTACCCATTATGAAATGCACGACCCTTTCGACAAGCAAGCGCGTCATGAAACGTTGCATCAGTCTCCAGAAATTTCACGGCTTGTGATCGTTTATGAGCCGAAACAGCAGTAATTGTAAAAGGAACTGCAACACGCGCTATTCGCATTATGCGCAGCGTCCCTCGCAGCTAGAGGCAAGCAACGTAATTCCTTACGGAGGGTGGTGGGCGTGCATCTACTGTAGACTTGTTCGTCGTCGGGCTTAAGAGTCCTCGGAATGCATGACATCTTAGTTTTTGTCTGCAGCTGCTATGTCATTCTGTTAAGCAGGTACCAAGGACCCAATTTTGCACAGAAATTATTCCAATGAACACTGACGATAGCGAAGATTTTTAAGTCAAAAGCGACTTGTCACTTCCCTGAGCCATATTTGGTCCAATCTGTTCGGAACGCGATGTTGAAACACATGCGTGTGGTCCTAGTGACAATACCACATCTCAGATATGTATGACGCCAGAGTGCATCCGAGTCCCTGATCGGGTCGTGCGGGGCCCCTCCTCGATCAGGACACAAGCTTCTCTCTGCCCTGACAGGGGCCTGCTCCCTGCCCCGAAAGAGTAATTCTTTTAGTCCAAAGACTGGGAGTGGAAGGACTCCAAGGACTACGGACTGTTGCCTTGTCGGAGCATGGCCACATTTGTCTTGACGATGGCTTCCTGTCGTACCACCGACCTAATCCATACAATATATATATATATATATATATATATATATATATATATATATATATATATATATATATACATAAATATATATATATATATATAAAAATATATATATACATATATATATATATATATATATATATATATATATATATATATATATATATATATATATATATATATATATATATATATATAGTACAGTAGGCTCTTCCTTTCAGTGATGGCAGAGGCCTCCTGTCGTGTCGTGGCCTTCTTCACCCAGGAGCATGCATTCGTGGGGGCCTTCTCCCATCCGCCACAGAACCGCTCCTTGGTAATCACTGGAACCCCCCTGTTCATCGGTAGGGAGATCTGTACACTGTAGACTGTTGCGCAGCGGCTTAAAACCACCCAACCTGCTTGCCTGGTTATCTCAGTCGCCGCGGACATAGTGTTAGGCCCCCCTCCCGGACATGACGTCGGCCATCTGTCGTAGTTTGGCTGTCAGCCGTTTACAACATTGCAATGTTGAGGCGTCTTCCCATTAATAAAGGGGGTCCCGTGGCGCGGTCAATCCCGACCCCAGTATCCGATCTGGGGCCTCCCTCGACCATGACAGTACGTTGTTGGTCTTGGCCGGTTCTTCCAACTGTATCATGGATGCTCTAAAATATATCGTGGCTTTCGAGATGCATGGCTGGTTGATTCAGGCTAAGCAGAGCGATGTTTTCGCCCACCCCGTCCGACTACGAGGGGGGGGGGGGGGTGCTGGGAGCCGCCCTGCTCTGAGCGCGGCACCGTACACGAGTTTGCGGCGGGTTTCCGACGAACGCAATAGCTTCTGAGTGACAGCTTCTGTGTCCGCGTGCTTTCGTCCGACCGAAGAGGGCTGTCTAACCTCACTAGATTTAATC